CGCTTAAATTCTAAAAACGTATCTAAAAATGCAAAAGAATTTTTTGGTAAACTAAAATAATAATGAGGAAAATAACAGTATATTTTGGAATGTTTATTTGTTAGTGTAGGTAAACACAATGTTCAGACCTTCACATCCATATCTTCATCAAAATATTCGAAGCTCTTATTTTGAAATTATTTTGATGTTCACAAAAGCTCATTCAATTTTGAATCTTCATTTCACGCAAATCATTTAAAACTTTTCCAACATCTCACTTCATATTCTAAACCGAAAAGTCTGTGAATGTACACAAAAAAAACTTTGCACAAAAAGCATTTAGAATTATAAACTTGTAGCATTGTGCTGTACCCTACCGATATTCGAAACAGTTTCAACAAACCATTTGCCAAAAACCAGTTTACCACTTTTATCAACTGCTTTCTGAACCAGATCCCAAACAATGCGTTAAGGAAGCCCACGCCAAGTCACAATAAAAGTCTAGACGTTGGTAAACAACAAACAAAAGACTCTATAGAACAGTGCCCGGACAAAAAGCAAAAGTGCTGGCAAAAAGTTTTCAGCATTTTCAATGCTAGCCTGCATAAAATCTGCATAATTGACATTTGATTGTGCGCCCTAAAAGGCGTGGCAGAAGACAGCGCGCTCTCATAACTATTCCACTATCGATATTAGCATTTTCTCGCAGCAAACGCGAACTTCTAGGAACTACAATGAAAGGGAAACGAATCATTGATACACTTCCTAAAGTTTGCAAGCAAACCAACAAAAGATAGAATTTAACGACATGAAAATATGATATTGATTAATAACAGAGCAAAATAAGCAAACAATTTTTTTTTAGTTTTTATTTATATTGTTTTCTGTTAGATAGTTTATCTAATATATTTAAAGGTATTTAGAACTAAGACGCTTCGATTGAATACAAATTTAACCTGCAAACGCAAAGTAAAATGACCTAGTCAATACATTAATTTATAAGAAAAAAATGTTCGTTTTTAATTATAATCTATACGCAATATGGAAAAATTTTAACTTTTAGTTTTTGTTTTAATACAAACAGCTGTTTAATATTGTAATGGCGCACCCCTACTCTAAACTCCCGCAGCCTTATCTGATGCTAAAAAGCTTTCAATAATATTAAATTTCTGTTTGGTTAGGCCACTGAGTTGACAGTAAGGCCGACAGGAGCCAGTTGCATTGTGCAGCAATTGCAGCAAGTTAATAGGCATGTGCACAAACACACACACACACACACACACACACACACACTCACACACTTACGCAAATGCACACTCACTTAAAGGCACACACAGATACAAATTAGTTAAATTACAGGCGCTTCTCGCGCAGGTTTCGGTTGATTAGAAAAAGTGGCAACCAAGTTCGCTTCGGCTTTGGCATTGGCTTTTGGCTTTGGATTCGCTTGGCATCAACAGGAGAGCAACCGGTGCAGGCAGCGAATCAACCTGGCAGGTAGCTCGTTTTCTTTGCCAGCTGCCGCTAACGAAGCTCAATTCGAGCGCCAAATTGAAATTGATTGTGACATTTGATCATGCGTTCGCCTCGCTGGGAAACTGGCAGCTTGCAGCTCGCAACTGGCAACTTGCAACTAGGTGCCCAACTGCCTGCCAGCCTACCATATGAAGAGCTCCTCCGCAGGAATTCGCGCGGAAAATTACAAAACGCAGATTGTCTACATATCTTCTCCATTTTCTGCCTTTCCTAAGTTGTCGCTACGCATTGGATTAATTGGGCGGATGTTCATGGCCTGGAAAGGCAGATAGGTAGCTTAAATGTAGGTTGTTGCTGGCCTTTATTAATGTCAGAGATTCAGTTGACAGTTGAGTCTAAAGAAGATAAGTTGAGCTAGTTGAAATTGAATTGGTCGCGTGAGAGAAAAATTAAATAGAGAAATTTCGTAGCTTTTTAAAGTATTTTGACTTTTAACATGAATTTTATATCCATAGAACACGTCTGGCACACTTTTGTCGTCCAAAATGTCCGACACAATTTGCTTCAAATTATTTAAATTGCCACTGAGCAGAAAAAGTTGTAGCTCCGTATGTCTGGTACACTTTCGAACACATGTCACGCACTCGACTTGGACTACTCGAAAGCCCACGCAACGACGACTTCTAGGCCTAATCCCACGCATAGCTGCTTGGAAGACTGCCGGCCGATACTTCAGGCCGGTCGTAAGAAATGTTTAAGTAGAACGCCTGGCGATGCGATGAAATTGCAAAAATAATCAAATGCGAATAAAATCAAAACATTGTGGCCAAAGTAATTTGCATGCGCAGAACCGGCAGCCACTTGGACTGCCCCAGCGGCTTGTTGGCCGCTCACACTTAAAGACAACGCCAGAGGCGCCTCAGGCCGCTGCAGATTGGAAGTGTCTGAAGACACTTGTTGGCTGCTTGCCAGTGCCAGTGCCACTGCCAGTGGCAGTGGCAGTCGGCAGCCACATAGACAACATAACATGGACAAAGTTGCGCCACAAAAGCCCGCGTTGCAGAAGCAGTTGCAGCTGATCATCATCTTCTTCTTGGCCGACGACAGCATAACAAATGAACATTTAAATGGAGACGCAGGCGAATGCCAGGCAGACCACCGTTTTTTCTTTCTTCGTTTTGCTTAACATAGAGAAACATCCACTCAAGTGGGTAGCTGCCAAGAGGAAGACATTTCGAAGCTTTAATCAAGCATCAAGTGTGTCGTGGAAAAGTTTCGCCTTACGTCGGCTGGTCACTCAACTGGCCAACGTCCAACGTCATCGTCATGTACATCATGTCGCCTGCTCAACGAGAGCTACTCCCATCCATTTGGGGGTCGTCTTTGCCATTTTAATAAACGTTTGGTTGTCGGGCACAGATTGCTTTTGCCTTTGCCAGCTGCTGTTGATGCTCCTCGGCTGCTGCTGCTGCTGCTGCTGCTGCACTGCATCCATGCAATGCTCGGCATGAGTTGTTGAAAAGTTTAAATGGGTTTTACGCAAAAGTTTTTGATATGCTGCCGCCTCCCGCTGAATGATTTTTCCCTATTTCGCGCGGTTTGCTTGTAATTATTATCTCAAAGTTTCGCATTTTTTTTTCTTTCTTAAAAGCCACTTAAAAAATCTGTAAAAAAAAATTAAGTTAGCTGACTCTTTGATTGATTTACTATAGGATTATATGAAACTACTATAAGCAGAAAAAAATCTACTAATTAGTAGGTTATTATCTATTTAATATCTATAACTTTTTGCTTTGTCACGTTTTTTTGAGAGTCACCTAAATTTAGGATTGTATCAGTTTGCCGTTGGTGTGATTTGTGCACATACTTTGTAAAGTGAATATATTTTAATTTATAATTTCGCTTCCTTACAACAATGTTATGTTGTAATCCGTGCATTTTTACATTTAAAATATACTCCCTAAATTTTAAACTCTACCCAGAATTGTAATCTACCAAATATGGTTTGATAAATGCAATTATTGAGGCCAAAGTTTCACATGATTTGGAGCCGGACTCCCTCAAAAAAGATTTTTTAATTAATGGCTTGTTTTCGTTTCCGTTTTCGGCTTGTAACTGATTCGATTCATAGTAAATAATTAATAGTAATAGTATTCGGAGTTTCGAACTGGAGTTGGCTGGATTTGTTAATTTAATATTTACATATGAATATCATTCTACGACTAACATATAAGTATATATAAAAAATTAATTTAATGATTACATTTATTTCCTCAACATGCTATACCTAACATTTCCCTAAAATATAAACTCATCATCTACATTTTAAAACTACCCAAATTAAGAACTGAACTTACTTTACTTTAAATACATTTTCATTATATTGTTTGATTTTACTTTGAATGTCCAATTGTATGTAATGCTATAGCTGTAATAACAACTTACATGCAAATTCATCTAAAAACATCTGAGTTCTAAAATATAAAGTGTGACATTTATATTATAGAGAAATCTCTGTCATTTATCATCGATTCACTTGACTAATTCCTTGGGATTTCCTCTCAGCACAAGACAATTGCCAAACATTAGCACACAATTCAATAGGAAACAATTCAGCTGCAAGTACCAGATATACATATTTACATGCAACAACATTTCGTTTCGCCCAATAAACAGTTCGAGATTTATGCATGCAAACGTTTTATTAGCCCGGCCAATGCAGAAGAGCATGGAGAGAGTTTAGGACCGCAGGGGCCAGCTGCAACATTTATCGATACAATTGGCAGAAATATCTGCCAAGTGGCCACAAACAGTTTGAGAATGTGTGCCAAGTGCGCGAATGATTCTCTATATGGATTCGCTGCTCCAATTGGTAGTTTGGTCCGGTCGTTTATCGTTTAAATCTCCACGCGGCCACTGGCACTGCAGATCGCCGCTGGGATAAACTGCAAATACTCTGGTATTTTGGACAAACGCCAACGGATGCGGATTCGAATGTGAACTTGGCTTAAGTTTGATATTTGTATGCGTATTTATTATATGCAGTTAATTAATTGAATGTAAATAAATTTGGCATTGGCTTGTGGTCGCACTACGGGGATATGTGACTGCAGCAAAGCGCTTAAACCTGTGATTACAAATGTATGTATAAACTAACATATGAACTGGTTTATCTAAACGTATTGAAGTCAAAATAAAAGGTGATAGTCGCAATTCTAACAGTTGTCTGCTGTCTAATAGTTAATTGGACTGACTAAGAAAAACAAAAAACGTATGACTATATTTCAGCCTTTTTAACATATCTCCCTTTATTTTGTTTTCTCGAGCTCTATTTAGGTAATCATTAAACATCCAATTTAGAGTTACTCTATGGATTTAGCTGCTAAATATTTAATATGATAATTCGTAAATTTTTCTTCACATCTTTGTGGAGTTTCCGCAGACATTTGTGTTTATTGTCCAAAGAAGGTATCCAAACCAAAATTTGTTTCTCTCTGTTCAAAAAACAGTGTGAAAACAAACATTACTTAAGAGATGACGGGGTAAGCCAACGCCTATTGTATAGCTACACTCGAAGATGTCTTTTTCTGTCTGTGAAAACATTTGCACAAACAAAAGTTAATTCTTACCTGCCAAATTACCTGCAAATTTCAACAGAGAACATGGTATATACAATGACAACATTGCAATTAGGTGCGACAAACTAAACTATACTCTGCTCACAGAATAATAACAGCTGAAAATAGTCGAACAGAGTTTTCCTTACAAACTGCCAACAAGCTGATGAGCTTGTTGCCAATTCTAATTTGGCCCCTAATCCTTATTTAAAAAAATTATTGTGTAATTAATAAATTAAATTTATTTGTAACTAACGTGAACTTAGGCAGGAACATCAGTAAATTGTCTGTAGAGGTCTCAACCAGTACAGTAGAACCCAGCCCGACGCTAATATAGCTCAATTTTTCTCATTCTGAACAATTTGTAAGTAATATGACGATTCTCTCTAAACAGCTAGTAACTATTCGCATCCCTATTACAGTGAAAATTTAAATTAAATTCTCGGCAAAGCATAAAAAATTCAATTTTAAAACTTAAACCCATGCGGCGTCCGTTTAAGCTCCAGTGTGCCACAGTTGGGGCTGGTCAGCATCCACATCGTGCAACAGTTGTTGTTGTTGGCTTTGTCGCAAAAAGCAAATTGCCAGACAGCAGCAGCTAAAAAGATGCAAAAAGTGAGAGAAAACGTTTTGCAGGGCGCCGGCGATAAGGAATTTAATTTTATGCGCACTGGCGCCTCTGGCCAACTAAACACAGTTGCAGATACAGATTCAGTTGCAGTGGCAGTTGCAGTTGCAGTTGCGGATACATTTCAACTTTGTCAATGCGTTGCAAATATTTATAACATGCCATATCGGAGACCTGAATAAAAACCAAAATTAAATAGCAGACACTTCACTTGTTCAAGGGTATCTGCTGCAGACTTTCCCCCCCTTTGCCTTTGGCTCTACAACAATGCAGTCAGCAAACACTTTGAAGTATGTCAATGCTTTGCTTGCCACATGTGCAACATTTCGCAACAGGCAGCTCCACTTTTCCCCGGCTCCTGTCTGTGGCTGCTTAGCCAGCGATAATTTATGTGGTTGCCGCCTCTGTCGGCGCTTCGCTTTGATCACAACCGACAACAACAAAATTCCCTGCCCTGCAGAAATTCTCGCGCCTTCGACTTGCAACAACTTAAAAGCGAAAGTGACATTTTACTAATTTAGCATTTTGAATGCGTCTCGTGTCGAGCCGCGAAAAGATTTATTCGCAAACCGCAATGCATAATGCGGCATTGGCTTTGCTTGGTTTAATTAAAGCATCTTCTACAAATTTATACACTTGACTGGCCATCGATTGATTGATGGCTTGTTGCCGTGCCCGCCGGAGGTTCCAGCCAACATCAACGACTCTTTCAAGGTAAGCTAGCAACAGGCTGTTAGCGCTCTATAAAGATAGCCATCGCAGAAAAAGGGGTGTATCAACACAACCAGAGCTACAGTGGGTATATAGAGGAAATATTCTTGTTCAGTCGACTTAGCCATATCAGCATCTTTGCTAGTATTTCATATGAATACTAGACCCTTAGTCTGAAAAAAGGTAATGTGAGACTTGGCCTACTGCTATGACTATTTAAAACTCTAATTTATCGGACTATTATATCATCATATAGCTCCCTAAGAAACGATCTTGATAAAAATTAGAATAAGAAGCTACTATCCTAACGAGGCAGCACAAGCTTGTCAGCAATGGCATTTAGCTTCGAAAGTTGACTTGTTTTATGAAGCACTTGTCTTATGATTAGTATCGATACTGTTCATTCTGAAATGGTATTAAATTGTGGACACAATTTAGTTAGCTTCTTCAGCTTTTTATTGCATGGAGAGCACCTTCAAAAATGTCATAAATTTTCTGCATTTTTTTTATTTTTTCGTTTTTATTATTTGCGTTGACCCAAATACACAGCAGCGATCCATTGAGCAAGATGAATGGCTCAACATCATTCATTGGCAGGGCTCAGCAACCATTTGGAGTTCTATGGCCATTGACAAACAATACGACAAATTGGTTTTGTGTTTTTGTCCCATATTCGGTTTTGCAATTTGCGCAAATTGTTTTTACACAAAATATTTGCACTGACGGCTGACAGAGCTGGCAGTTTCAGATAGTCGAGTGCGTTCATAGGTCTGGGCATTTATATCGGTCATTAATATTGCATTTTTGTTGCACTTAAATTGCGTATACACTATAAAATATTGCATATAAATCGATTGCTTTCCCTCTCTCACTTTTATTGTGTAAGTCAGCATTTTTGCGCATTTTGAACAAACATTTTAAAATATCGGCATTTTGCGTTCGCCTCTCAATGATTTGCTGCTGTTTGCATTCTGCACCGAAATTAATTGCGTAAATTGTATTAAATGTTTCACCATGGGCAGAAAACAGCGCAAATTTTAATTGAATGCCTTTTGTTTGGCCAGCTCGAATGTGTTTTTGCCGGTTCGATCCACTTAAATGCAAATCGAGAGCCCTAAAAACAAAAAGCTGCCTGGATTGCATTTGGCGCGATAAACGAATAAAGCACTGCCCACAACGCCTCGTCATCGGCAAAACATATGCGATTTGTTCACTAATTGGCTTATGTTTGCATTATGCCAAAAACTGATATATCAAATGGGGTTTCTTTGCCATGATAACATATTGGTTGTCAGTTGAATGGAATTAGTATGACCAAGAGTGCACACATTAAAAGAGCTCGACCGTAAAACACCAAACCGAAACATCAAATAAAAAAAATAAGTCAGAGTGCTTTAGTCGAAAGTGGTCGACAGAGAGATACCCTGAACCTCGCGCCAAGACACCTTTACAAATAGTCTAGCTTCCCTCTAACAACAAAAACACATACTATTGAAAATGTATTCCTGAAAAGCATTGGTGTATCCATCAAGATCTACATGACATCATAAGAACATGAATATTGTACCCTCTAGCCGTAGTCTATTTTTTTTGTGGTGGCAATTGGAATGAGCTAGCCAAAAGTGAAAATTTTAAAATTCGCTCAGTAAGTAAGCTCAGTTAGTTTTTGAGAAAAGCATAACTAAAAACAAGTCTCCAAATACTATGCACATGGGCTGAGATATCGAAAACGGGATAGGCTTGTTCTGGTATACGAGAAGATATAATTGTAAGTCTTGGCGGTATACTGTAAATATCTAAACTAAACCTTAAACCAAAGCTATTGTTACTATCCTCACGCTAATAAAAGTTTCTAGACTACAGTAACAGATATCAGAAAATACTAAAAGAATTTTTAAGAAAAAAAAAAAGTTATATGTGTAAGCATCTGGCAACCTCGTTCCATGCTCATTCACAGAATGGATATAATAAGAATCCTTATCAATATCGGAAGAGAACAACAATGGAGAGGAAATCTAAGCAGCAAGCGCACAACTGCAAAACGAACAATATACAAGTCTAATAGAAAAATATACTGATTAATAAATATATAAGCCAACCTTAAACTATCCTATCTATTCTCAATGTATTTACAAGCCAAGATTACTCAGCTAAGCTGGTTCTTCCAAATTAATGGAAACTAATCCAATTATCATTAATGCCATTAACAGATATGCTCTTTGATCGTTATTGCATTTCTCAAGTTCTTAAATGTTTGATAATAAATAAAATGTATATATATATAATATATTATTCGCGCTGTACGCAGTATACTCGTGGTATACCTCATATGCTCTCTAAATTCCAAACAGAAAATGAAATTCGTTCAACTCTACTTCGGAAGTACTTTCGATTACAGTACATTTATTAATTACATATAATTAATTATTATGAAATTACCAGGAAAAGCTATTGCTTAATGCACCTACGTCACCTGAAGGAACGTTATCCTACCTAACGTACACCATTTGCAATCAGCTCATTAGAACCCATCGCATTATCCATTAATCTCATCGGACCACACGCTTTTCCATTGGCAGTTGAAAGGTTGCACAAGTGAAGAGCAATTCAGTCGTTCGGTATGTTTGACCCAGCCAAGTTTCTGATCCGCTTGAACTACTTATATGGACGCTTCATTGGAGTCATCAACTTTGAGATCGACATGGAGACGGGTAAAGCGTGGATAAGCAGAAAGGCGACGATCTATGCTGCGATAGCTAATACGTTGATCTTTGGCATGGTGCCGCTGCTGATTAACAGTCAGATTTGGAAGGTGCTCTTGGTCAACGCGAACCGCCTTCATGAATACGTGTTCCTTGTGATGATGTGCATGCGCATCAGCTGTGTGTTTGTGACTATATTGAGCCGCTGGTGGCAGCGCCAGCGTATCGTGGATTTGCTATGCAGCCATTATCGTTTGACCGTAAAGCAACCGCAGGTGATGCGTTTGACGCGAAATGGCGTCATCTCCAAGGTCATCAGCGGCACGCTCACGGAGGGCATTCACATGGCATTGGGATTATATGGACTGCACGATAAACTCACGCCCATAATGGCTTTGAGCGTATTCCCACTTTACGTGCTGATAGGATTGCTTAATTTTATTCTAGCCCAATTTTACTTTGCTTTGCTAAATGTACACGGACACTACCTTCTCATCAATCAGGATCTGCGCTCGATTGTGGCTGAAACACACTTGCTGGAGTTGGACCATTCCCGAATGTTCAGCCAGGTCAAAAGCTTTGCACTGGCCACTCGCTTGAACAGTCTGGCCAGATTTCAGTCTCAGCTGCAGAGCCTCATCGAGCGCATGACGAAAATCTTTGGATTGCAGACACTTTGCATGTGCATAATATTTACCGTAACCATGATTTCGGGTGTTTACTACACCTTCTCTGCTTTTAAATACGGCATATTGAACATCAACTGGTCTAGCTGGTACAATTTGTTGGTCCTGTGCGGCGTCATCAGCTACATCGCCGACTCCTACATCACCCACTCTATTACAAGCTATGTAAAGGACAAGCATGCTGAAACGGTGGAGCTTGTTGCGCAATATCCAACATTTGCGCATGGCCTCGATGAGCGCCTCGTAATTGCAGTGAGTGACATTCTATTATGTAACCCAACAACTAACCCAAGTCTAACTGCTTTCAGTTCGAGAGCTTTCAAATGCAGCTAATACGCAATCCTCTGAAACTATCTGTGATGGGCTTATATAATATGGATCGTCGTAATGTGATAGCAATGTTCGGCTCCTTGATATCATATTCACTAATTCTGATACAATATGATATCAAATATTATAAATCTAATTAAATGAATAAAATTATTAAAAGTGCGTCAAATCTAACATTACTATCGGTACTAGATGTTTTAATAAGTATGAAAGCCTTAGATGAATAACTAATAATATCATTAATTTCAATACTGTTAGTTATTAAAAGACACTTCTGGGATAGGCATATCAAGCCGTCTTTCTGATGCAGGCATTACATATGTTGGAACCGGCCTGGTCGGACAACTATATCCTATAGCTGCCATAGGAACATATTCTGTAAATATATTAATCAAAATTATCATATACGGGCTTTATTGTTCCCGCATATCTGCAAAGGGGAAATATCTACAAGGGTATTAAATCTATAGCGTACCAAAGATATCCTTATTTACTCGATTTTGTAGTATTTTCTTAATGAAGATAGCTGAACCGAATATTCCTTCACCAGTTCACCGACAATTTACCTCTTAGAGCTATATATTCCACCGCTGCGTGTGCACAGTCTCAGACAAAATTTTAACATGCATTATCACTCGAGTTTCCGTTTCGTATCCAAGTCTCAAATGCCAATAACTCATAAAT